ATCTATCTATCTATCTATCTATCTATCTATCTATCTATCTATCTATCTATCTATCTATCTATCTATCTATCTATCTATCTCTATCTGATACTCTTACTAAAATCAAAATAGGAGTCTTTGCAGATTTGTCATTTTCGCCTCTGAATAACACTCCACCTTCTGCCAATAGATCCAGTCACACTCAATTCTTTGTGTTGACACCCCACAGTTGGTGAACACCTCGTGGGGATGGAGTGAAAGTGCACCACAGAGTGAGGATCATTTTTGTTCACAGAGACTGTCTGACTAACTATTCAACAAATTAAAAGGAAAAAAAATATTCTATTTTAGTTCCCTTTAAGGTCAATAAAACATATTTGAGATGAACTAAATTGCGTATTTGCCAACCAAGTGTATGGATTTTGATTTTGTCTTCTGAGCTGTTGGCTTTGTCTTAGCAGGCAACACCGGGGTGGGCTGAAGGTTACTCTTGCATTTGTGCATGTGCAGCAATCTTACCAGAGAGGAACACTCCGCCAAGGTTGATTGAAAGACAGCATTTTAATCCGCATGCACACATACTCACCAGTGCATGTGTTTCCTCCTTTTGTATACAAGTACTGATATTGATCCATACTGTACTTAACAAAGGTAAAGATGACCCTTCCATTTTTTTTTTATGTTGTTTAAAACAGAAACCTTAACTATTTTATTCCTATTCTTATATAACTTAGGTTATTTCTAAAGTCAGTTGAATTTATTAAGGATTGTAAATTAGTTTCTCTAACTCTAAAAAACAAACAAAAACAAGATTTAACTTTCCTTTTGATTAAAAGTTATGTATCACTTCATAACCAATTCAATGAAATCTAAACAAAATACTTTTTTCACAATGCCATTAAAAAACATTTTTGCGGCTGTAATATGAAAAAAGTGAAAAGAGAAAGTGTGCGGGTGATAAATACTCTTCCAAGGCATTATATATAGTAATGTAAAAACAAACAAACCTTTTAGAATATTTAGTTCTTTATGAAGTAATACTCACATATCCAGGATGTTATTTTCACACAGAAGACAGACTCGTCAGGTTCAATTTACATGTTTCTAAGCTAAAACAAGGCTTTGATTTGGTCCACTCTATAAAACCTTGAACACAATGCGAACCCAGATATTTAAAATTGAGAAAGCTTCCTTGATGGGAAGCAAAATGTCTTCAAACTTGTAAACAAAGTCCAGTGGATTGTTTTTTAAACTTTTTTGGATTGTGGTCTCATTGCACAATGAATTTGCTTAGAAACGTTTTGTAAACAGTAAAATGTTTAATTTCAGTTTAATTACCTCTTTAATCCCTTACTAGACTAATAAAATGTTCCAGTCCTCTTCCTCAACGCCTCTGGAAGCATTTTTGATCTTACCATGGTAATCCAAACTAAACATTTGATTAATTCATTCAAAATGCTAAGTGTGAGTGCAGGCGACTCACTAACCTTGAACCTCAAAGTTCTTTCAGACGCGACACATAACAGAAATAATTCTTGAATCGAAAACTTGAGTTTGATGTTTTTCTTTAGTGAACTTAAGAATAATTCTTAACTTATTATCTTAATAAATTCCTTTGTCCCGATCAAGACTGTGATGCTCCTAAGGCTCGAGGTTTCTGTTCTGACATTCTTTGTGTGTCTTGACAGTTACACACCAAACCAGCAAGCCATTACAATGCACCATAGTATCAAAATAAGCATCTATATAACTAAACTAAATATTACCAAATATGAACTAAATATTTCTTACATTCTTAAATAAACTCAAATTCTGCAAAACACTGAAAATTGCTCCAACACAATGTTCTCACTGAGCACTTAGTAGAGTTTGCCTGCTGGTAATTTAGACATTTCATGTTAGAATAAATGTCGAAGGTGTCCAAACGTGAATATATTTTAATACTTCACAAGATTTATTGCTTATTTTTCATATTATTCAAACAACATAGCCAAATTACATTTTTTCCAATAATATATAAGCATAAATATAATCAAATTTGATCAAATCATTGCTATAATTCAAATTTATTTTGTGAATCAGCCTCATATAACTAAAAAAATATCAGAGAAGTAGGGTTGGGCTTTAAAGTCGAACTAAATTACTAATAAAACAGTGGAACAAAAACATCCTTACCCTGCTCTTACAGCTAAGGTTACTGATTTAATATCCCCTCATATTCATATTAACCTTACTGTGCTTAATATATTTAAAAGAGGTTGTTTTTAACTGGGACAAACAGATTTATAAGCAGCATATAGCAGTATGCCTGTGGGTGACAACAGCATCTGTTTTAGATTTCTGTAGGATGAAGCACTTCTGTGGACTATCTGTTCATTAAACCATAGCAACGTCTGTTTCTGCCAGATAGCTGTCTTATATGATCAGATCATTTGCCAACCATCCAGTTTCTCCCCCTTTTTTTGTTTGCAGAGAGCTTCTGGGTGGTTGCTGTCCATGGTGCTGAAGAAATAAAAGGAAACAACATAGATTTTTTTTTAAATAGGACAAATAACAAAAGTATATAAGGTAGATTTCAAAGAAAACTGTATTTTTCAAATCTGCATTTGATTATTTTTTTTAGCAATAAAAGAAAAGCTGGTCCGAATGTGCTTGTTGTGACACAGTACTGATATATTATTGCAAGATTGATCAATTGTTGTTAGAGAAGCCACTGGATAATTGTCACATTTCTGGATTTTTATTAGGCTCCTTATTATTTACTGACATTGGGTATTCATTTATTATGTTTCTGCAAAGACTGATTACAAATTACTCAATTTCCTAAAACCGTGATTTTGCTCACACCTTAAAACCAATAATAAGTGTAGAGATGTTGGATAAAAAGTGATGCAGCCTGAATAGAAACTGTACAGTTTTATAAAAAAGAAAAAGAAAAGAAATTTAAACTATATAAAATCCTTGGAAGAATAGATGTAGTTTTTAATTTTTTTTTTTGCTCAAGTTCAAATCTCTACTCCCAAAAGCAAGCTACCATATCTGCTCTTGTGATCAGATGAAACAGATCGCAGTTTAACGTGTTTAACGTGTAGCATTTATATTCTATATGGCTGAAGCAAAATGGCTTTAGTTGTATATATGGGCACTGAAGGGGTTTTAAGAAGAATTTCATAAGAAGTACCCAGACAAACTGTAAGTGTCAGACTTGACAGCCAAAGATTGACAATGATCATTGACATGCAAGCTTTAAAAATACATTTTATGATGTGAGCAGAGGGTTACACTGAGACAATAATTTATTCCACCTTGCCCTTTAGTCCCACCATGCATACAGCTGCACTACAGCCTGTAATGTTGCCATCAGTCTTCTCTAGTCAGTGCCACAGAATCACATCACACATCATAACATCATACACATATTGTTTGTAAAGTGATGAGACAACGATGCCTAATTGAAATAATACACAGCCTTCAAAGATCAATAATAATCTGGTACACAATACCAGAATATTCTCTGCTAAGAATTATAATTTCCATCTGTATGCTCCCATTCATTGGCCTCTATATTTTATAGTGTTACAGCATGTAGTGGAACTATGTAATAACTATGTAATATCTAGTATACTTAACATGTGGGTAATATTAGGGTTTGACAAATGCATACATTAAAGATGAAAAAAAAAAATCCTAAAATTATTGCAAAATTCTGTTTTCTTAGGGAAAATTAAAAAATTTGAAGAAAAAAAAAACTACCTTTAAAACTAAACTAGTATATAGATTAGATTAGATTAGCTTTATTGATCTCACAGCGGAGAAATTCAATGTTCCCTCTTGAATGAAAGAAACCTCAAGTTTTTCAATAACATTTAATTTTTTTAGGTGTGCCTGTAGGGTCCATGTATAAATAAAACATGTGGACACCAAGATATGTCTCTTGTCTAAGCATGGGCGGTTCTAGACGGGGGTCAACAGGGGCCAGTGCCCCTTTAGAACTTGGTCCTGGGCCCTATACTGAAAATGTAAGCAGTAAGAAATGTAGATTTAAGTAAACTTTTCTGGAAATACATGTATTATTACCTTGAATTCAGCAGGTAGATAAAAAAGTTTGCAGATTGGATAAGACGAATGATGTTTAGAAAAAAAGAAAAATAACAATTGCCTATATTCAAGTGAATAAGAGTTATTTGGTTTAAGGGCCAAAGTCCTCCTTCCTTTGGTAGATCATCTTATTTAGGGAAAATAAACTGAATTTACTAAACTTTTCCCCTGTTTAGGTAAATTATTGCAGTGTAATGAGTTTCTTAGGATGATATGCACTGACAAACAAAGCCATGACAGATTTATCCCCTAGACCGGGGATCGGCAACCTGCGGCTCACTGGAGTTTTTTCAAAGCAAACAAAATAAATAAAGAGTGATTGTTTTTGGTTTGTTTGTTGCTTCTAATATAGTGTGTATGATGTTAAACAAACATTCTTTGTTTTCCATTGCTCTAAAAATGTATTTAATATATAAATTTAAACAATAAATGTAAACATTTTTATTTGCATCATAGCCTTTAAAACCCGTTTCAGAGTGGCGTGGTGCCAGGCAGGTGGCTGTTGTAAACAAACCGGTGGGTGCACTGTAATTAAATTATAGTGGTTTATTTCCGTTTACATAGCGTACTTACCTTATCAAAAGTCCACTGTTGCAGGCTACGTTTTATTGCACTGTTGTCCAAATCAGGGGGAAAAAGAGGATTGTATTGTTATTGTGGTTTGAAGAAGACTGTATTTTATGTCCACACAGAGGTTTGAATTATAGCTATTAAATTTTTTTACCCAAAAATCAATAAACCAAAAATCTTATTTCTTTATTTTATTTCTATAATTCCATCAATTCAAGAAAACATAATACATTAATACTGTAAACTAGTCACAATGTGTGTCCTTTTCTATGCACTGCAGGGAAAATAAACATTTAATCATGAATGCTTATTATGTATTTAAGCCTACTTAGTCATTTTGATAGTGGGCTAATATACACTCTTTTATATTTTTCCAGACAGATCTGTTTTTTGTTTTTTTTTTGGGGTCCAATATGGCTCTTTGATCATTTTGGTTTGCTGACCGCTGCCCTAGACCATTGCAATATACTGTATTAACAATTTACTTGAGGAAATATTCAGAGGCGTAGCCAGAAATTTTTTATAAGGGTGGCCAGGCAATAACCAACGTACAATGAGGGGTGGCCAAAAGTAGATAGGCACCAAAACTTCATGGTCACTTCACTACACTGTTCCAACAGGAAAATTAACAAGCAAAACATCCATTCTTTCTACATAAAGAAAAAATATACTTTTCCACATCCTTTGCTAACAAATCAGTGTATTCTCGTAATGAGTTCGTATGAAATCGTACGAAAAGTTATGCACCGTAATTTCGTACGTTTTAGACGTTTTTTTCATCGTATTACGTCTTGCCCCGAGACAAGATATCCTTGCGCATGCGCATCTTACGCACCATTCAATAACATAGAATTTAAGATACAATTAAACCTAAACCTAACCCTAACCCTAAGATACAAAACAGCAAGCAACGTAGTTAGAGACATAAGGAAGTAAGTATTGCACTGTTTTTCCCAGTTTTACGTCCGTCCGCGGATCCGCTTTTTTCGTCTGTCTGCCTGCGCACTGACGTTTTTTTTCGAGGAAAAACGTCAAAAACGTACGAAATACTGTGCATAACTTTTCGTACGATTTCATACGAACTGATAATGAGAATATGTTGAACAAATAGATGAATATATTCAAACATCAGTGCTTTCTAAATAAAAGGTGTATTGGATAAAATTCTTTCAGGTTTGAGTTTTGGTTGAACATCTTTTTCATTGTCATTACTTACCTAAATTTATCAGTAATCATTCTGCATAAAATTGATATTTACAAGTACTAATATCTACACAAATTGATTATTTAATAAGTTATTATTAAAATAGTTATTTATCTATGATTTCACCGGAGACCCCTAGATGATTTGCAGAGACACATCACTTACTCTTTATCCCTTAAAACACAAAATCTATTTCTGCTTAAATTTAGTACTTATTGTCTTTAATGTTCATATATTGATGTGCATAATTAACCACAGTGTTTTGTTGTCAAGTAATTGTGAATGTATGAAAAAGTTAAATGTTTTGAATATTCCACTTGAGAGTATTACTGTTGCCACCATCTGTATTAGAGGAAAATAAATGGTAGGGGTGGCCACAGCGGTGGCCAATGATTGGCTAAGGGTGGCCATGGCCACCCCTGGCCCCCCATCTAGCTCCGCCCTTGCAAATATTTAGAAATTACAGATTTGTTGCTCACTTGGTAAACTAAAATATGGACTCTTGCTCTTTTTTGTGTGGAAGGGAGTGTTGGCCTAGTGATTAAAATAGTGTGCTTGTGATCTGAGAAGGTTGCAAGTACCCGATTCGGGCCCACAGCCTGCATTCTGGGTCCCCGAGCAAGACCCTTGACCCCATATTGCTGCCCAGGCGCTGCACAATGGCAGCCCAAAGCTCCCTAAGGGGATAGGTTAAATGCAGAGGTACATTTCTCCAGTGTGAGATCAATAAATTAAATTATTATTAGTGTTTCTTTATTTATTTTTTTTTTTTTTGGTCCCACGAAAATGTATCACCCCATCTAAAAACAGCCACTGAGTAGGGCCCCGAATCTCCTAAATCCGGCCCTGCATCGGCCTATATGCCACAGAGACAGCTTGCAGTGCCCCCCCTCCTCTCCTCTCCTTCCCTCTAACCGCGCACTGTAGGGCGGTCGCGCGCACACGCACAGGCAGTGGGAGTGGGTGCTCGTGAAGCTGCTGGATGCCAGGATGGGATAATCATGCGCGTCTGGCTCCGGGCGTTGATGCAGCTGCCGATGCTGGAAACGGACTGGATTCGGGGCGCAGGGTGGGTCTAGGTGCAGGCCGGTGCCGCTTGGACCTGGTGTTGATGTTTATCAGGCATTCTGAGGATGACTGTAGGGCGATGGCCGTGAGAGGAGATGCTGCAGCTCTTTGAAACGATCTCACCCATGGAGGACGGGATTCACCGGCATTGAAGCGCAGAGCGGTTCTGGGGGAACTTGGGGGGAGAAAAAAAAAAGGGGGGCCAGGGTACCAAGACATCAGAGGATACAAAAAGACGCATTTCACGATTTCTTTGGGTGATGTTTATTTCTACCTGAAACAGTGAGATAAACGGAGCCGGAGCAGAAATCGGCTATTAGGAGCGCACAGCCTCCGTGGATCCAGCAGCAGCCGCATCCGTCCGCTGGTTCTGGTGGGATTTACTTGAATGGAGAGAGGTTGCAGGGAGAGGGGGGGAGAGAGAGCGACTCGCCTTGTGTAGGAGGAGGAGAAGACGGAGGAGAACCGGGCAGTTTGAAGGGACGGGGAGCCAGGGGCGGCGCGGCGGCTCCATGAGCGGCTCCTGCCGGGAGAGAGCGCCCACAGCCCAGCCGGAGCGTCTCCACTGCCGCGGGTAGAACCCCCGGGCTCCAGGACGGCGGTCAGTTTGGAAGTTTTGATGCATATGATCACAACCACCATGATTTTTATGATTCTTGGTGCTTCAGTTGTAATGGTAAGACATCCTCACCTCCCTCAGATGCAATATGATTTTCTCATTTTCCACACAGAAGCCAAAGATCATTAAAAAAACACATAAACCTTATACATTTTTAAGACACCCAGCCTTAGAGCAGGCCTATCAGTGGCATGTGGAAGTAGGTAAGCCCATCTATAATTAGCCTACCTGCTGTCATAAATAAATTAGTCCGTTTTCAAGCAACAGTCTCTCTCTTAGAAAGGAGGAGATATCTGCCATTTTTCCCCCCACTTGTGGTCATCATTCCTGTTATTTCTAAAGAAAAAAACAAACGCTGTCTCTGATAAATAGCTTAACCCATTGCTTGACATGTCCCAGCTGACTGGCATGGTTCTTTGCAGGCAATAGCCTGTTTAATGGACATGAACGCACTACTGGATCGCTTTCACAACTACATCCTACCGCATCTACGAGGCGAGGATCGCGTCTGCCACTGCAACTGTGGAAGGTAAATACCAGCATCCTCCACAACATCTGGGATAAACAGGCTGTGCTGTATTCTCTCTTTTTCCTTTTTTTAATTACCCCAATCGTTAATTCTTAATTGCTGAAAAGGCCTCGCAGATCTGAGGCGGTGAAACCCCGCAAAGCCAACCTGATAGGCTGCCATCCTGTTTGCGCTCTCACATAGCCGCTGTTTCCACTGTTTTATTTGGACATAATCGGCCGCTTCTCACTGTTGCATCGCTGTTTTTACCGTGTATGTAGGACTAGGCTTTGCTGCATGCAGGGAAATCTGTGTGTGCAGGAGTAATAAATAGGTAATGAACCATGAGCCATGGTAGGCCGCTTAAAACAATCTGAGCGCGCTGTGGATTGGCTCTCATATATGGTGTTACTGATATAAAATATATAAAATGATGACCATTTTTCTCTCTAACACTAATTTAGAATAGGCTCTTCCTCTTTTTGGGTCAGTTTGTATGAGCAAAAAGTGTTAATAAGTTTGCTAAACCTAGGAGATATTGCTTTGGACGTTTATTTTTTCACTTTTCTCCAAATAAAATCGGAGGTTTACGCACACTACGCTCAAAACGCCCTCAAACAGATGATGATGTCATGAGTTTTAGATGCTTTTAGGAAGATGGAGGCACACCTGTGGATATGTTTATGTACACCTCAACCTTCCTCCGCCCTAGTGCGACATCGTGTGTGGGAAAAAAACATCAAAAATGCGCCAATTCACAACACATGTCATCTAAAGGCACTTTACAGTTCACCAGATCATACAGTCCAATTGATTTAAAGTTTTCTATCAAAGGAAAACCATTTGATTGCATCAACACATTGAGTCAAATGCAATCATTCACACTAAGCATGCTTGTAGCGACAGTGGAGAGGAAAAACTCCCTTTGAACAGGAAGAAACCTCCAGCAGAACCAGGCTCAGTGTGAG